TTTTCAACTGTTATGCTGATAAGTTGCTATACTTGTTTAGTTAATGAATACTTTTGCAAGAAATTACTGCTGACACTGGCGCCAATGATTGGTTTATACACCTGATGATAAAAGCAGGGTCCTGTTGCCCATGTGAACAGGTCTCTCGTAAACTTCAGGGAAATTATTTACATTGTTATTGGGTGAACCTCTGTTTGTATCCTTCATGGCAGAAGGTTCAGTAAATGATGTTACATTATAGACTTTATTTGATGCTTTGTTGGTGATTTTTGATTGTTCATATTATTAACTTTTAATTAGGATGGTTGAGTGTCTGGATTTATAAACACGTGTGTTCTGATGATTGAACTGTATCAGGGTAGTTTTCTTATGACTGATGAAGTTGTAGGAATTACTTCTGACACTGGCATTGAGAATTGATTTCTCATTGTATTGATTTATACACCTGATGGTAAAAGCAGGGTCCTGTTGTCCATGTAAATGAATCTCTCGTAAACTTCAGGTTTCCAGAAGGTTCATTAAATAATGTTACATTATGACACTAGTTGATGCTTTGTTGGTGATTCTTTCAATCGTTCTGAACTAATGCTAATGTGATAGCATATAAATTGCACTTGGTGTTTTTTGCATCAGTAGGGGTTCTAACATGCCATTCCTCAGAAAATGTTTTAAATTCTTTAACCATATAGTGGTACAATATCTTTGTTCAAACCCTGAAAGTAAGCAACAACTAAGTCCATGTTTGGTTTGCTGCCACTAGCCTCGTACTTATTTCTTTTAATTCTTACCGATTCTGAGAAAGAATGCGCAATAATGACTGAGATGTGGGTGTTTGGATAACCAGTGTTTTAAAAGCGCAAGGGCCAATTTGCCTGATGCGCAAGGCGAGGCACACTTCTTTTTAAGATAGGTGCAAAATTATAAAAAAAAGCTAAAAAATAAAAAAATCAGAAAATTCACAAAAAGCCAAAAAATTTTAAGAAAATGCAAAAATATTAAAAAATATTATTTATGATGTTAATAAAAATATAAATATAAATATTCATCAAAAAAATATATAAACTTAAATTTTAAAATAAATGATTTTAAAAACTTATTATCTAAAATTAAAATACATAAACATAACCTGTAAAGTGTATTCAAATGAAAATTTAAAAATAAAAGCAAACATATAAAGCATTTTCAAGCATGTAAAACCCACAATGTCTTTTTTTCTTTAGTTGCATTGCTTCAAGTAGTTAATGTCATGTAAAACATATTTGCATTCTCGATTCTGAGTTGCCTTTGTAGCACACCCCTCGAGGCAAGCCCGAACAAGTCTATGTTAGGGTCTGAAATTCTTATTTCTCACATAAAAGTAATGATTTTACAACTTTCATTCCCTTTTACGAAGTTATTTTATTGCACTGAATGAATGAACAACATCAGCAAATAGGGGTTCTCGGAGCTTCTGTGAGCGAGTGAATTTCATTTTCCCTATTTTTATTCATTCTTTTCCATCTTCGAATT